CACACACACACACACACACACACACACACACACACACACACACACACACACACACACACACACACACACACACACACACACACACACACACACACACACACACACACACACGGTTAGTTGCGTATCCTTTACACGACGTTGCAGAAATAACCCCAGCAGCCCCTGGCTTTTGTGTGGTTTTTCTAGGCAAATTTACGTCAAGTAGTTGCCATTTACTGGACGGTCGGCTTTCTTGATACCACTATCGAAACCAACGCAAGACGCATGGCCGCGCAGCTGTGATCGAACCCGGCATCCCGGCATCTCGAAGCGTTCGCATCGACTTAGCCACAGAGTCGACTACACACACACATATATATATTTTTGTGTGTATTTATGTATGTATATATCTATGTATCGATAAATATATATGTGTGTGTGTGTTATTAAAAATGGTGGTGATGGTAGTAGTAGTAGTAGTAGTAGTAGTAGTAGTAGTAGTAGTAGTAGCAGTAGCAGTAGTAGTAGTAGTAGTGGTAGTAGTAGTAGTAGTAGTAGTAGTAGTAGTAGTAGTAGTAGTAGTAGTAGTAGCAGCAGTAGTAGTAGTTGTAGTAGTAGTAGTAGTAGTAGTAGTAGTAGTAGTAGTAGTAGTAGTAGTAGTAGTAGTAGTAGTAGTAGTAGTAGTAGTAGTAGTAGTAGTAGTAGTAGTAGTAGTAGTAGCAGCAGTAGTAGTATTGGTGGTGTTAGTAATATTAGCAGCAGTAGTATTAGTAGTTGGAGTATAGTTGCTGTAACTGTAATATATACATTAGAAAAGAGAGCAGAAACAGCAGCCGTGGTAGTAGTACCAGCAGCTGCAGCAGTAGCGAAAGTATAGTCAGTGTAATTGTAGTAGTACTAGTAGCAGCAGCAGCAGCAACAACAGTAACAACAACAACAGCAATAATTGTGGTGGTGATAGTAAGAGCTGCAGGAGTTTCAAGGAAAGACAGAATACAAAATCATGAAATCAGACGAATGCTAGGAATAAAGCCAGTCTTAAGGTCATCAAAGAACAACAAATGAAGTGGTTTGGACACCTAACAAGAATGCCCTGGTACTATTTGCCACAGCGAGCCACACTAAAACGTTACAGCGGGTATAGAGTGAGTGGAAGACCTCGGAAAATATGGAGTGATGGCATTAAGAACAGCCTTACAGAAATGAACATCAGTCTTAATAGTGCTCTTGACAGAGCTCATTAACGAACATTACATCTCCCCCCCCCCCCCCCCCCCCCGACACTTCGATGAGGTACAAGGTGGAAAAGAAAAAGAAGAAGAAGAAGATAGTAATGGTAGTTGTAGTAGTAGTTGCGGCAGCTGCAGCAGTAGTAGTAGTGGTAGTAGTGGTAAAATTATTATTATTATCATCACTAGTATTAGTAGTAGAGGTTGTTGTTGTTATTGTTGTTGATATTGTTGGTTGCTGCTGTTGTTGTTGCTTGTTGTTGTTTAGCTTGTTCTTTGATTTTGTTGTTGTTGCTGTCGTTTTTCTTGATTGTTTTTTGTTGTTCTTGTTTGTAGCTCCTTGTTATTGCTGTTTGTCGTTGTTGTTGTTGCTTGTTGTTTTTATTGCTTGTTGTTGTTATTGCTCGTTGTGCTTTTTGTTATTGTTGCTTGTGGTTGCAGTAGCTTGTTGCTGTTGTTGTTATTGCATGTTGTTGTTGTTGCTGGTAGTTGTTAAATGTTGTTGGACAAAAATAGAGAACAAGAGAGCACCACTGGAAGATCAGAGAACAAGAGAGCACCACTGGAAGAGAAGAGAACAAGAGAGCACCATTGGAAGATCAGAGAACAAGAGAGCACCACTGGAAGAGAAGAGAACAAGAGAGCACCACTGGAAGAGAAGAGAACAAGAGAGCACCACTGGAAGATCAGAGAACAAGAGAGCACCTGGAAGAGAAGAGAACAAGAGAGCCCCTGGAAGAGAAGAGAACAAGAGAGCACCATTGGAAGATCGGAGAACAAGAGAGAACCACTGGAAGAGAAGAGAACAAGAGAGCACCACTGGAAGAGAAGAGAACAAGAGAGCACCACTGGAAGAGAAGAGAACAAGAGAGCACCACTGGAAGATCAGAGAACAAGAGAGCACCACTGGAAGAGAAGAGAACAAGAGAGCACCACTGGAAGAGAAGAGAACAAGAGAGCACCACTGGAAGATCAGAGAACAAGAGAGCACCACTGGAAGAGAAGAGAACAAGAGAGCACCACTGGAAGAGAAGAGAACAAGAGAGCACCACTGGAAGAGAAGAGAACAAGAGAGCACCACTGGAAGAGAAGAGAACAAGAGAGCACCACTGGAAGAGAAGAGAACAAGAGAGCACCACTGGAAGATCAGAGAACAAGAGAGCACCACTGGAAGAGAAGAGAACAAGAGAGCACCATTGGAAGAGAAGAGAACAAGAGAGCACCACTGGAAGAGAAGAGAACAAGAGAGCACCACTGGAAGAGAAGAGAAAAAGAGAGCACCACTGGAAGATCAGAGAACAAGAGAGCACCACTGGAAGATCAGAGAACAAGAGAGCACCACTGGAAGATCAGAGAACAAGAGAGCACCACTGGAAGATCAGAGAACAAGAGAGCACCACTGGAAGATCAGAGAACAAGAGAGCACCACTGGAAGATCAGAGAACAAGAGAGCACCACTGGAAGATCAGAGAACAAGAGAGCACCACTGGAAGATCAGAGAACAAGAGAGCACCACTGGAAGATCAGAGAACAAGAGAGCACCACTGGAAGATCAGAGAACAAGAGAGCACCACTGGAAGAGAAGAGAACAAGAGAGCACCACTGGAAGATCAGAGAACAAGAGAGCACCACTGGAAGAGAAGAGAACAAGAGAGCACCACTGGAAGAGAAGAGAACAAGAGAGCACCACTGGAAGATCAGAGAACAAGAGAGCACCACTGGAAGATCAGAGAACAAGAGAGCACCACTGGAAGAGAAGAGAACAAGAAAACAGCATTTGAGGAGAGGAGAATAAGAAAACGCAACTGAAAGAGGGGAGTACAAAGAAAGTACCTTCGGAAGATAGGAGATCAAGACAACAACTTTGGAAAAGAAGAGACAAGTAGACACAACTAGAAGAGAGGGGAACAAGAGAACAATGCTGGAGAACAAGAGAGAACACCATGGAAAGATAGGAGGAGAAAAAAGATGCAACCGGAAGAGAGGAGAACAAGAGAGAACACCATGGAAAGATAGGAGGAGAAAAAAGATGCAACCGGAAGAGAGGAGAACAAGAGAGAACACCATGGAAAGATAGGAGGAGAGAAAAGATTTAACCGGAAGAGAGGAGAACAAGAGATCACCACCAGAAGAATGGAGAGCGAGAGAACATCACAGGGTAAAACAACTGAACAAGAGGACACCAGTGCATAAACAGTTTGGTTATTGCTAGTAATCAAAGTCAAATCGATGGATTAGCCCAGGGGCGTTTATTTCTTTAGCACAAACACGGAACAAATATTTCCCATTGTATTGCCTGTTGTCAATTATCTGCTAGTTTCTTCTCATGTTGCGCCAATCCCAGAATGGTTCATCTTCTTTGTCTCCATATGTTGTTACTAGGGTTGCCCAGACATTTCTCTTTTTTTTATCATGACACTTCAATTATTCTAATTTTATATTCAGCACTTTCTTTAGGCATGTGGCTTCTTCTTCTTCTTCGTCTTTTTCTTCTTCTTCTTTTTCTTCTTCTTATCCACCTTGTATCTCAGCGAAGTGTAGGGGGGAGATGCAACGTTCGTTGATGAGCTCTGTCAAGAGAATTTTTAAGACTGATCATCATTTCTGTAAGGCTGTTTTTAATGACATCACTCCATTTTTTCGGAGGTCTTCCACTCGCTCTATACCTGTTGTAACGTTTCAGTGTAGCTCGCTGTGGCAGATAGTACCAGGGAATTCTTGTTAGGTGACCAAACCAATTAATTTGTTGTTCTTTGATGACTTGTAAGACTGGCTTTGTCCCAAACATTTGTCTGATTTCCTATTCTGTCTTTGCTTCAAACTCCTGCAGTTCTTCTAAGGTATATGTTTTCTAATGCATCTAACATTTTTTACAAATCTTTAGTTGTTCTTTAGTTTTCACGGGCTTATGTTAAAAAGATTGACATGTGAAAGGCTTTCGTTTTCAAGGGCGGCATTCAAGTTCCGAGCCAACATTTACTTAACAATTTCGTTGAAATTCCAAGTTGTCGAATTTTGAAGCTTGCGAATTCTAAGAGCTACCACGGTTTTATGCGCTTCAGGGTGGATTCCATCCCAAGACTATATGATCCTCAGGCAAGAGGCTACCCACTGTACCCCCTAAGGAGTGAGTGATGTAATCAACATAACACCGGCCGACATGACTTCCTGAATCTTTTCTGATACTCATTTTAGGCTTAGTTGACCAGAAAGACTCGGTTCCCTGTTTATTGTCACTGTCTTGCATAAAATCCAATCAATAGTCGTATCGTTTGTGTGTCTGTGTAAAACTAATATTGGGAGTCATGTCCCCGCAGACAAACTGCTGTGTCCCTGCCGCCAGAGACAAGCGTCTATACTTCCATTGTATCAGGTGACAGTTGTTGTACTTGACTAGCTGTTTTAGTGTTTCTATTTCAGATGTGATTCTCCAGCTCACATAAGCTGACGTGTTCTTTAATTATTTTTGTTTTTTACATTTGTGTATATTTCTAATTTTTTTTTTTTTTTTAAGTGTAAGATACTCTCATTATAAATTTGATTTGCTTGTGGGTGATTGCCATTCAACTCTACGCGACGACGAGCGACAACATCCGGAGACCCAGAATGGATGAGAATTACCAGGTCGCAAGTCCAAGAAACATTGTTCAAACATTAGATTATATTTAGGGTCCCCGATGAAAGGTATGACTCTGTTTTAGTGTGATGCGACTGCTCTCAAAGTTCACGATTAGATCGTTAATATATAAAAATACACGCAAATTAGTAGCTATAATCTCTGGCTGTTAACAGATGAGGCCTTCGGACAGAATGGAAAACATCACTTGTATTCCTGGCACCCCTTTCAATGCCGTTGTTATCAACGCCACCATCCTGAAAATGATCAACGCCCCTGTAGCGCCATTGGATTACCCAGCCTGGGACATCGCCCTCAAAGTGCTCTTTTATATTGTGGCTATGCTCACGGATATTATCGGAAATTCCATCGTTCTGTTGATTATCGCTCTGAACAAGAAGATGCGGACAACGACCAACGTGCTCATTCTCAACCTGGCGGTCAGTGACCTGATGGTTGCCTCCTTCTGCATGTGGGTGCATCTGGGTAACAAAGTGACCGACAACTGGCCTTTCGGTTCCTTTATGTGCAAGTTCAACGCTTTTACTCAAGGTAGGTCAGTTTTGACTTTCTATTACAGTTATACCTCAACATTATCTCCATCATTCTTGTAACTGGGTTTCATTTTCATCGATGAATACTGTATCTTGTTCTTTGTTTTTAGTTTCTGCATTTGCGTGTAATGTAAAATTGTTTATAGAGAATGATTCACCTGGGTGTAACCAGAGGGTCTGGCCGGCTTACTACACTCAGAGGAAAGGCAAGATGAACATATAACCAGAATGTGACCGGTATCATCAGTATTGGAACTTTGCGTTGGGTGCTGAAGATGAGGACGGAGCATGCATGGGAATGTCTAGAGTGCTGTGGTGTCAATTATTGACTAAACTCAACTCAACTTAGTATTGTTTCTCTGCCACTTTTTTCTCTCGTGGTTTTATTCCGGAGTTTATAATTTCTGGTCCCACCTGCAACCTTTCTCTGACATCGCATTTCCAAGATTACTAATTTTATTTTCTGGTTCGTTGTGAATGACCACATGTCTGGCACTGGCAGCATAAGGAGGGAGTGAGTATGTTTTGTGCGAGATGTTTCTTAGTGGCTGAGCGTGATTTTCTTATGCTGTAACCTTGCCAATTCTTGTCTTGTGATCTGTCAGAACTGTTTTAGCAATAGACATCAGTCCAAGTGGATGTCAATCGTGTTAGGCTAATGACCTTCTTAATTTCCGCTTAAAGATGGCCGCCCCACTTTTGACTCTGGCTTTTGACTATGGTGTGGTAACTGTAAATGCTTATAAAACTTTTAAGGTTTCCATTTGAAGACCATCGTATTTGAACTTTGTTATCTTTTTCAAACCGTTGCCATCATCTGCTATATATTTAAATTCTGCTTCTTTCTTCCCGTTCACATTACTTCTGTGTTTTGACCCAGTGTTGATTGTTATACTGTTTAATTTACGTTCTTCATGCACGAATGTAAAAGCTAGAAATTATCAGCATTAAATCTAGTTTTACATCCCTGGTGCTTATTCCAGAGCTTTCAATTTACCAGGTAATTTTTGCTTGCTGTAATACAAGAGAGTTCTGTGTAATGATGTCAGAAATTACCAGAACTATGTTTATAATTACAATATTATCAGAGTTTATTACTGACATTTTTCTTATCATACCTATACAAAATATTACAATTTCTGTGTTTCTAAAGTTAAGGGTTTACCACTGATGTGTTTCTAATTTCAATTATGTCAGAGTGTACTGTGGTGTACAGTGAAACTCAAACATTCGTCTTTAATCCGTTTCTGATGGGAGAACAAATGTTGAAAAGGGCGAATGTAGAAAAAGACGAACTTTAAAAGAGTTTTCCCTATTAGAATTAGCTAAACATTGCTAAAACTCCTCACAGTCCCAATTTAGCCTATCTATTCTTTTATAAATTGAAAATAGCAGTCGAAAATTGATCTCAGAAAACATTACAAATACATTTTAAACAGATATTAACTATTGTACTTGTTGTTATTGTACGATTGTAGCAGAGAGTTACCGGTCCTGATGACGTAAATAGCCGTAAGCTTTCATCACTGCCTTCTCTTGAATAAATATAAAGAAGGTGTCGTGAAATGATAGCCATTACGCATCGGTCTGTAAGGCTGATAACCTGTCTTACCTGTAATCTGCACAAAATTCAAACTTGGACTCGCCCAGAAATATATAGTCCCTTATATCTATATATATAGGCCTGTATTGGACAACATTATTATGTCTGCCTTTTCTGGTTACCTTAACTAAACTCCACTTTTAAATGTATATCTCTTGGAGATATATTTAGGGAGTTATTTGAGGTTTCTTGGAAACCGATTTACTACTTGCACAAGTATACAAGGGACTTCTTTTGTACCGACGCCTGAAGTGTCTAAGTGACGCTATTCTCCTTGCCAGCTTCTCAAGCGTCCAGATGTGTTAATCTGTGCCTGTATAAATTTCACTTTCCAAGGCAATCTGGAATGTCTCAGTTTTTACATATGCTTGGGTAAGTTAATTATAGTTTACGAGTACCTAGAATGATGTCTGTAAAGTAGTCACTGCTGTAGAAAAATCAGTATCGGCTGTGTGATCCCACTTAGTTCGACCGTTCTTGATCGCTAGAGAAGCGGATTCGAACGTAGATCTCCCACTGTACAGACTAAATAACTTATGCCCTCAATAAACCACCCATACTGGTAAAACTTAATACCCTTACAAAGATGTACGTTTGAAACTAACTAGAGAATCTGTACATACGAAATGGGGACAGAATTGGGTCAGGGCTTTGTTAATCAAAGTATGTGTGTGCTTGACCCAGATCAATGAGTGCTGGGGCGGTTGGGAAAGCTAGTGAATGCAGGTACTGACAGTAAATATTGGTGTCTGTGTGCAGAGTGAGGGGGAGAGGGAGAGTGATATATGTGTTAGACCACTTTATCTATCTCCACTGTATATCTGACTTGCCTTCTCTTGCACTAAACAGACAGATAAATATAGGAGACTTATGTCTTTTGGTCTGGAGAGGCAATCTGAGGAATGAAACAGGAGAGCAGGGAGGAGTAAGCAGATGTGGGATATGACTGATGCTTGTTCTGTCTTTCCTGTCAAGATGTTACCCTCTTGGTGATGACTAATTCTGAGTTATTTCTTGGCAGGATGAGTCCTTTGTGAGGAGCTGGCAGAGGATTCACAGTCCAACCAACATCCACCAACCATACCCTATAACCCAGCAGTCAATTAACCCATCACCCACTTATTATCTCCCAATTACCAATTGAGAAGACTGTCCTCCTCAAGATGGGGTACAATATAACCCAAACATCATCCAGTGCCAGAGCATGTGTGTAAGTCAGGGACAGTACTGTGAGTTACTCGTGGGAGCAGTTGCTGTGTGCTTATCAAGGTGCTGTGTGCCTATCCAGTTGCTGTGTGCCTATCCAGTTGCTGTGTGCCTATCCAGTTGCTGTGTGCCTATCAAGGTGCTGTGTGCCTATCCAGTTGCTGCGTCCTCTATGGTGAGGTACTCTTCCATTACCTGATCCTGTTGAGCGGAAGTACCAGGGTCAAAGACAGTCGATTTACCCGGAGCGGAGTGAGACATCAACAGTGGAACTGGGATAAGTGACAATTATGTCTCAATTATGCTATATTCCCCACAGCTCCACTGGATTCCAAGGATGAACATATGCTTCTTCCAAGACTGTCTGACTGTTTAACTGTGGTTGATTATAGTCATTGTATTCTGGAATCCAGCTGTTGTGTTTTTGACATCTACTTCACTATTTTCTATTTTGAATATTATACTAAATACATGCATTCATTTTCATGGCTGACTAAGGTTTCTCTATGTCACCTTTTTAAGTGTTTAGCAGTTGTGTATGTATGTATCTTCATTATATGTGTTAACATGGTTATGATAATGAACTATCATAACCTGGGGGCTTTCTTTAGTAAGTAGTGGGGGTGTCCAGCCAAGTGGGCCTAGAGATATTGTATTTATATACTGATATATTTTGTAGTGCCAATACTTGAGTTGCCCTACTCCAGAGATAAGTTGATCGTATATTGGCCACGGGGAATCCCTTAGACCAATACGAGCCAAACGACTCAACATAATTATCTCTGAGTGCTGTTGGTTCTGAAGGAGGAATCCTTACATTAGGCACGCGACAGGAGTGATATGTGACAGAAGGTCGGCCTTGGCTTACATAAATAAATTTTCTTTGTAGAAAAAAATAATTTAAAAAAATAACCTGTCGGGTGAAGAAAAAAAAGCTTTTGTTTGGAAAATAAGGGGGGGGGGGGGGTGTCTTCTTCCATGGTAACATCTGGCAATGTCACTTCTGGCGAATTATGTCTTGATTCATCAGTTACTTTCAGACGAGTCACCAGTACTCGTGTGTGTTTTTGTTTTAGAAGTTATTCAGTGTTGTTTGGGTTGTTCTGTTTTCTTTTATATTATATATATATATATATATATATATATATATATATATATATATATATATATATATATATATATATATATATATATATATATATATATGTATATATATATATATATATATATATATATATATATATATATATATATATATATATATATATATATATATATATATGTATATATATATATTATGAAAGTGTCCAAACAGATCTTCATCAAAAGAATTAATTCGCTGATTAATTATAGCTATGTTTAGGTGCCATCAATTCGTTAATTTCAGCACTTGGAACCTGCACATCCCCTATTTTTTCTTCTCGCCTGATGACTCGCCAGCCTGGTCGGCGGAAGGACGAATATTGACCTTTGGGAAAAATATGAAACAAAAATTTCAACAGAGAAACAGACCAAAAATTGTTTATATATATATATATAAATAACAGAAAAAAAAAATATTTGTGTGCACGAGTAGTGGGGCGCCGCTGTTTTTCTAAAATTAAATATTGAGATTGGCTTTTGGAACTTCTGCACCACGTTGGGGGGGGGGGGGGGGGGAGGTGGGGGGATCCTCTGAGGTAGCAGATGACATTAAGAGTAACGATCAGGTTTTAACTGTGGTCTAATTACGGTGATGTCAGAGTTTACCATTAGTCTAATTATCATTTCAGTAATGTCAGAGTTTACCATTAGTCTAATTATCATTTCAGTAATGTCAGAGTTTACCATTAGTCTAATTATCTTTTCAGTGATGTCAGAGTTTACCATTAGTCTAATTATCATTTCAGTGATGTCAGAGTTTACCATTAGTTTAATTATTTTTTCAGTGATGTCAGAGTTTACCATTAGTCTAATTATCTTTTCAGTAATTTCAGAGTTTACCATTAGTCTCAATATCATTTCAGCAATTTCAGAGTTTACCATTAGTCTAATTATCATTTCAGAGATATCAGAGTTTACCGTTAGTCTAATTATCATTTCAGTAATGTCAGCGCTTACCATTAGTCTAATTATCTTTTCAGTGATGTCAGAGTTTACCATTAGTCTAATTATCATTTCAGCAATTTCAGAGTTTACCATTAGTCTAATTATCATTTCCGTCATTCTGCATGGGTAAATGCTAATTACAATATGTTTAGGCTTTGCGCTATGCAGATGAGGCACTTAATTACTCACCTTAATAGGCCTAAAAACAAATAGAGAGACAGCAGTTACGGCTTATAAATCGTTATCTACTGGTGTTGACAAGAACGTCAGGAGCCCTGGAGGATGGGGGAAGGCAAGAGTGTAAGGTATAAGGAAATAGCACATGAATGATTCAAGTACTGAGGTCAATTCGTGTAAACTGAATATAGTGGACCGTGTTGCATGGAGAGAAACAAAAATTGAGGGGGAGGGGGGATGTCAGGAATGGCAACAGATAAAAGGGAAAATGATTGCTGAAACGTTTTGACCTGAGCGTCTGAAAAGAAACAGATAAAATGCAGACGATCCTGAAATCAAGTGCCCTAAATGTGGAGAACGTTTCCTTGAGGTCAGCTGGTCTTGCTAGTCCCACTCGCCATCGCCATAGGCTCTGAT